GGGACCTAAAATGTAGTCTATTTTGGAAAATGTTCCATGTGCTGCTGTGAAGAACGTGTATTCTGATGATGCTGGGTGAAATATTTGGTAGGTGTCTGTTAAATGTAGTTGCTCTATGCAGTTGTTTATATCTCCGGTTTCTCTGTTGAGTTTTTGCCAAGTTGATCTATCTAGTGGGGATAGTCGTGTATTAAAGTCCCTGACAATTAATGTATTTGGATCTAAATGAGATTTGAGAGAAAGTAGTGTTTTTTGCATAAATTTGGATGATCCATTGTTTGGCGAATAGAGATTTAGAGTTGTAATAACCTCCTGAAGTAGAGATCCCTTAATTAGTATTGAGAGACCTTCTTTATCTCCTCTAACTAATTTTAATTTGAAGTCTATTTTATCTGATATTCGTATTGCAACTCCTGCCTGTTTATAGGGAGCTGTTTGCTTGGTAGATTTTGTTCCAGCCTTTCACATTCAAAATGTGTTGTTTTTATGGACAAGGTGGGATTCCTGAAGGCAATAGGTAGAAGGATCTTCCTTTTTAATCCAACTAGTCTACGTCGCTTAATTGGAGAGTTAAGCCCATTAATGTAAAGAGATAGGACTTAGAGGTATTTGGGAGTTCCTGCCATTTTATTCACCTTCTTTAAGGCTGCCACAACTGAGTACTTCCTATGGTTCTTGGATTCTCACCTTGGGTGCGGTTTCTTGGTGTTTATTGTGGTCTTGTAGGTTTTCTATGTGTAGGACATCTTTAGGTGTCTTTGTAGAGCTGGTTTGGTGGAGATATATTGTTTCAATTTTTCTTTACTATGGAAGTTTTTTATTTGACCTTCGGATATGAAGGAGAGTTTAACTGTGTACAGTATTCTTGGTTGATAGTTGCTTGTCTTTAGGGGATGGTATACATCATTCCAGGCTTTTCTTGCTTTAATTTTCTCTGCTGAGAAATCTGAGGTGATTCTCATTGGTTTCCCTTTATAGGTTATTGATCTTTTCTCCTTGACAGCTTTAAAGATTTTTTTCTTGGTCTGAATTGATCCTGTGCGGATAATAATTTGACGGTAGGATGTCCTGTTCTGGTCTGGTCTATTTGGAGTTCTAAAAGCTTCTTGTATTTGAATAGCCCTGTCTTTTTACATGTTTGGGAAGTTCTCTGCTAGGATCTTGTTAAACAAATTTCCTAGACCATTAACTTCTGTCTCTAGGTGTTCCTCTACACCCATTATCCTCAGATTAGGCCTTCTGATGGTGTTTTCCAAATAGATTTGAGGAGATATATCATATTTCTAGGATTTGTCTTGGATGGTTTTATGTTCTTTCTCTATAATATCTAGGCTGTATTCAATCCCTGAGATTCGATCTTCTGCATGGTCTAACCTACTGTCAAGACTTTCTACTTCGTTTTTTATTATTTCTTCTAATTGGTTGACTTTGATGACTTCAAATTCTTTGTTGGAACTTTGTTCTAGATCTTGTAAGAACTTCTTTACTTCCTTACTTTGGTGCTCAGTGTTTATTCTCAAATCACTTAGTTGATTGGTTATGGTTTCCTAGGACTCGCATTCCTTCTGTTGTTTTCGAATGAGCATTCCCTTTGCCATCTCACTGATTTCTTTCAGCTCTCTGTTTCTGTATTCCACTAATGCCTCCATTGATCTTTGTCCGTTCTCATCCCGATCTCTCAGTTCCTGTATTTCTCTTTGATTAGCATCCCCACGTTTACACATTTCCTGAATTTCTCTTTGAGTGTCCTCAGCCTATTCACGCCATTCCTGACTTTCTCTTTGTCTGTGCTCAGCCAGCTCACGTAATTGCTGTCTATCTCTTTGACTGATCTCAACCTGCTCACACAATTCCTTTATTTCTCTTTGAGTGTTCTCAATCTGCTCATGAAATTCCTGTATCAATCTTTGAGTAGCTTCCTCAAGCTAATGCTTCTCCTGTATTGATCTTTGGTTTGCCTCCTCTTTCTCCCTATCATGCTCACATTGAGACTTTTGCAGGTTTTAACTATTTTCATTTACCATGTTTACCTGTAGTGTTTGTAGAGCTTTTTGAGAACTCTCCTCTGGATTACTCATTATCTCTTTTCTCCCCTGATTGTCATGAATGGGAGTTGAGAACCCCTGGCTTGACATTTTTCTTGTGTTTTTCCGGCTTGTTCTGCCCATTTGGGATGAGAATAACACGTTTTTTGCTAGAACACGATTTTAAGGTAAGCATAAACCAAAGTCCGTAGTTGCACAGTCAAAAGTCTGCAGATACAATCTGGTTCAAGAGATACAATCTATTGAACATCAAACAACTATGCCTTTATGGCCTAAGAACAGCAAAGGAGAATTTGGCAACCAGAAATTATTAGGTTTAGGTAAAATTTGGGGAACAATAGGATTGGAGGGATGTGGGAAAGTGAGGGAGAGTGGAATTAACCGTTTCCTCATCTCAAAGAGGGAAATTGATTGGAGAGAATGATAGCAGCTACAGAAAAAATAGTAAGAAAAAAAAGAAAAAGGAAAAAAGACAAGAAAAAATGGAAAAACACAAATTTAATATTAAAAAATGAAACCCTTAAAAACTGTGAGTTTGAAGAAGTAGTATTCAGAGAAGAATGGGGATGGGATGAAAGGAGGGGAGGCATAGAAAAGAGACATGAAAAACGAAAAATAAAGATGTTTTAAAATATTATATGGGTATAAATAGGTAATACTGCTATTAAAGAATTTATCTCTAAGAGGTTTTGAATTGAGTAATAAATTTCTGGATTAAGTATGTACACAATGTAGGATAAGATCTAATAATCGATGACGGGTATATTTGAGGTTGACCACAACAGAAATTAAGTCATGCAGAAACGAATAAAAGAGAAGTGAAAAGAATGAGAACAGAAAGGAAGAAAGAAAGAAAGAAAGAAAGAAAGAAAGAAAGAAAGAAAGAAAGAAAGAAAGAAAGAAAGAAAGAAAGAAAGAAAGAAAGAAAGAAAGAAAAAAAGAAAGAAAGGGAACAAAAGTTCAGTAGAGATTAAAAAATAAGCACACACACATATTCACCTAAAATAAAAATTATATGAGGAAGAAAACAATAAACAATAAAAACAAAAATTAAAAAAACAAAAAATTAAAAATAACGTACAAAAACAAAAAGAAAGTTCTTTCATTTTTTTTTTTGTGGGCTGGGGGATAGGAAGATTCTGTATTTCCCTTGTGTCAGTAACCAGACTCTTGGTGGAGTCCCTGGTCGGCTTGTGGTGTTTGGTTTTCCTGTGGCTTGATTTGTTACTTAAGGCAGTTTGTTTGGGCAAGCCGAAAAATGCTCTGCTTTGTGATCCTCCTTTCAGGCTAGTTCAGTGGGAGAGGGATCTGTTCTGAGTATTGCAAAAGAGGGAGATGTCTGTTTTCTCTTGTTTGGAGATGCTTTGATGAGGTTAGGTTCTGGGTAGAGTTGAGGCCTTTCAGCAAACAGTAGCTTTTCCCTGAGGGGCTAGCTTCTGAGACACTCACAGAGCACAGCCTGCAGCCTTTCTCAGAGTTTATGTTTACTGAATTTCAATAGAATGTCTAAGCTGCTTTAGGGAGGCACAGGCTCTGGCTCTGTTTACCCAGTGAAGAAAGCCACTCCCAGGGGGCAGATTTACTCTGCCTGGGGTGGGTGACTTTTTCCTGGGTGGAGTTGAACCTGGCAGGTCTGGCCAGGTTCATGTGACCTGCCAAATAGCTGTCTTGTTTTCTCCCAAGGCCTGAATTGGAACTGGCAACTCAGCCAAGCCTTTGTCAGTATCAAAGATGGAGATCTCCAGTAATGGGGTGGGGCATGAATGCCTTCCCTCCTCTGATCCCTAAGAAGGAGTGAGGATGTCAGGCTTCTACTCCACGCTGCCGGAGTCTTGGTTCCTGGGTCGTCTCTGGTCTGTGATCTGCAGTGTGAAGATATCTGCTCCTTGTCAGTTCTTGCTGGTGTTGTGTAGAATCAGCTTGCCCGCTGCATCTGGTGCCTTTGTCCCAGACCCTCTGTGTTGCAGGTATGACGGCTACGGGCACCGCCGCTGCTGCTGCCACAAGGCAAAGAGACACATCTGAGCACTTGCCAGGAGCGGCAAGTGCTCAGATCTGTCTCTTTGCCTTGATTTTCCCTCTCTGGCAAAACTCTCTGTACTGTGATGGCACACTTGGTGTAATTCTCTGGCCTAGTACTGTTCACTGGAACACTAAAACTGCTTTTTTATGCTAGAGCTTGTTTAGCCTCCAGCTTCTTCTCCGCCATCTTCCTGACCTTATCTTGAGGCTTATTTTATATTCCTGACATTTTTTCTACAGTTGTAGTTAATTTTTCATGATGGGCTAAGTGTATTATATTGGATATATGAAAGTAAACTGAATGCTTATCCCATTAATCCTTTGCCACTTGTCTAATACCAATATAAATTATCCATGTGTTTGATTTAATGAAAAAAACAACAGATATAAGCAAGATAAACCAGTCTGTTGTAGACAAGTATTTTCACCTTTATTTTGAAAGTTGGTCCTTTTTATCACTACAGAATATTCTTGAGAAAATGTGCTCCAGGCTCTACAACTGAAGAATATTATGGTTTGATCTATTATAAGAGAAGGAAGGAAGGGGAACCTTCCTTCCAAATGTTTGATTCCAGGAATGTGATATGCTTTATGGTGCCTGCTTGGAAATGAACAATTTTCACAGTCAACCTTGGAACGCCAACTTGATAGACAACTTCTGTAAGTGGTTACAAAGCATTATTGATGGCTTTGCAAGGATGCCTGATTGCCTCATTGTGGGACAATTAAAACAGGAATTTAGTAAGCTGCTCTTTGTATCTTTAGAAAAACCCATCGACTCTAGGCCAGGGGATCACAGGGGCCAAGACAAACTACTACCTTGAATAGTAATCCTAGACCTCTAAAACAAAACACACACACACACACATGCACACACACACACACACACACACACACACACACACACACACACACTAACAAATACACAAAAAGCACTCCAGTAAGCACAGCCAGGCAGGGTTACTATCACAGCCTAAATGAAATCAGGCAAAAAACAGAAGCTGAGAGTCATTTAGCTGATAACTAAAATATTTTTTATGAGGCAAACTCAAATGTGACTCCAGAGAGAGAGTAAGAAAGACTGATCAGAGACACTAAAATTGGTCACACAAAGATTGGAAAGTAGAATGCCTTGTAGAACAAATAAATCATAGAAAGCCTTTGCATGTAATAACAAGACAGCAGATCAAATTCCAGAAATGCACATTTTCTTAGTAGTCAGCTTAATCAACTATCAATACAAATCTTTGAATTCTTAAATATTTGACCATATGTGGGAGAAGGCTGAAGAGAAAGAAAATGTCATCATTCTCTTAGGAGGTCCAATATCACATTAATAAGTAATCTAGCAGAGATTTGTAATAAAAAGAAAACACAATTCTTCCAAATGAGGGTTTTATTTCTTTTGATGTAAAAGTTCTTAAATTAGGTGCTAGCAATTACCATACAATTGATCCAGTCCCTCAGCTGAGTTGATATTGACTGCAGTATTCCCACATGAAGGAAAAGAGAAAATTTACAAATGTCTGATGAAATGAGTTAAAGGTGAAGTGTTCTAATAATAGTATCTGTGGTTTAGATACAGGTGAAGAGGGCGATTTTCTTTTCTAATAATCCCCCATTTTTACCTGGTGCCAGTGGCTCACAGCTATAATCCTAGCTACTCAGGAAGCTGAGATCTGAGGACTTCATTTCAAAGACAGCCTGGGCAAGAAAGCCCTGAAACTCTTATTTCCATTTAACCCCCAGAAAACCAGAAGAGGCACTTTCACTCAAGAGGTAGAGCACTCACCTTGAGTTGAAGAGTTCAGGGACAGTTCCCAAGCCCAGACTTCAAGCACCTCGAACAACAACAACAAATCCTCATTTCATGGACTGCCTACATCTTCTCCTAACATTCAACAAAGGAGCCATTTTATCCCCCACTACCTTTAAGTCCTAAACTAGCTACTGGAAATAGATTGATTTGGTATCTTATATCAAACTGTTCATATTTGCGGAAACAAACACCAGCAGTGGTAAATTTTTTCCAGTCCTTCAACTCTGGGCCTGGGCCCTGAACATGGATATACTGTAGCTTTCATGTGAGGCTGTTTGTTATTGATTGGATTACTGCCCCTGAGGGAAATTACTGGGTCTTAAGGGAGATATAGGTTTAGTCTTTTCAGGAAACTCCGTACTGCATTCCACAATAGTTGAACGAGTTTAATTTCCCACCAACAGTGTAATAGAGTTCCCAATTGTCCAGCATTTGCTAGTCTTAATTTTCTTGGTAATGGCCATATTAACTGGGACGAGGTAGAATCTGTCTTGTTTACTTATAGATTTGTATGCACCTTCTAGTTTCAATAAATGAATGAATCCATGAAACCTATATTGCTCTGTGTCTGCATTCCTTTCTCTTTTCTATTAATATAATTTTCCCAAACTTTTTATTTTCCTTACCACTGGTGAAAAGTCATCTTTCTGATGGGTGAATATAATCCCATTGTGTGTGTGTGTGTGTGTGTGTGTGTGTGTGTGTGTGTGTGTGTGTGTAAGATGACTATAGGCACATGAATTCATTTCTAAGCATTCTGTATCATCTAAAATTTTGTAATTCCATATTGAAGTTGGATTGCTTTCTCTACTGCATGGAAGAATATTGTTAGGATTTTGATGAGTATTGCATTGCAAAATTGGGGAAAATATTGCAATGTTTAAAATGTTAATTCTTCTAACCAGGAACATTGAAAGACTTTCTATTTCCTTGAATCTCCTTCAATTTCCCTTTGTATATTTTTAAAGTTTTCACATATAGGTCCTTCACAATTTTAATTTAATTAATTCCTAGTTTTGTTGTTGTTGTTTTGTTCTGTGTAGATTTAATTTGTTTTTGAGGCTAATACATATAGGTTGTATTTTGAATTTCAGCGTGGATCTTCCCATTGTTGGTAACAGAAAAACTACTGATTCTTGTGATTTTTATACCCAGCTACATTGCTGAAGGTTAGCATCACCTGTACTAACTTGAGGGAGGAAGCCACAGGGTCTTTTAAATACAGCGACATTTCATCTGTAAAAAGGGATAGTTTTACTTCTTCCATATTTGGATCTGCTTGATGTTTTTCTCTTGTCTATTGTTCTTACAAGAAATTCCACTACCATATTGAAGAGTAGTAGAGAGAGTGGACATCTTGTCTCATTCCTGATGTTAATGTCTTCAGGCTTCCACCGTGAGGTAAATGCTAATTATCTGTGTCATATACATACTCAGTGTTATATTGAGGAATGTTCCACGCATTCTTAGCTTCTCAGACCTTTTAATCATAAAGCGGTATTGGAGCTTGTTAAAAGCTATTTCTACATCCCTATAGACGATCATGTGTTTCTTGACCCTGCTTCTGCTGATAGTTTGTATTATGTTTATTCACAAGAATATTAAATCGACTTTTATCCAAGTTGAATCCTATTTGATCATACCATATGATTTTTTTTAGTTGCTGAAATTGGTTAGTGAGAATTTTATTAAGAAGTTCTTCTTTAATGCTAATCAAAGAGTTGAGTCCATAGTTCTCTTTCTTTGGTGAGTCCCTACGTGATTTGGGGAAGAGTCTAATTCTAGCTTCATAGAATGTGTTTGATAATGTGTCTCTCATAGATACTAGATGGATGCATCTTGTTTTTAAATGCTATCTAATCTATGTCTTCTATTTGGAAATTTAAGTCCATTGCTATTGAGAGTTAAGGCAGAAATATCTGATAAGTCCTGCTATGTTATACACCTGTTGTTAGGAGCTGTGCCTGATGTACTCTTAATAAATTTACCTTGAACTCTTGTAGGGAACATTTTATATAACCAGTTCCTGTTCTTCTTGATCTTCTCTATGTAGGATATATTTGATTAAATTCTATCATGCTGATTTGATGGAAATACGTTGTTTCAAGTTGTCTTTGTCATGAAATATGTTTATTTATCCTTTAAATGTAAAGGAAAGTTTGGCTTGGGACCGTATTCACGGTTGGTAGTTGTTTACCTTTAGTGTTTGTCATACATCATTCCAGGCTCTCCTTTTTTTTACCATATCAGCTAAGAAATCTGTTTCTATTCTGACTGTATATCCCTTATAAATAATCAATCTTTTCTCTACGGCAGCTTTAAGAATCCTTTCCTTGATCGTTAATGATCCTCTAATGGATTATGATGTCATGGTGGATTGTTCAGTTCTAGAATTCTGTGTTTGTTTAAAGGCTTCTCTTCTCTGAATGAGCCTATCTCTTTGGATGTTTGGCATGTTCTCTGCTAGAATTCTGTAATATGTTTCCCATCCATTTAGTTTCCTGCTCTTCTCCTTCTTGATACCTATCTCCTCAAAATTTGATCTTCTAACTGAGTCTTGACGTTGTGGCAAGATCATTTCTTATTTCTTGGATTTGTTCTAAATGATTGTTTCCTCTTCCCTATTAGAGCTATTTTGTAATTTGGCCCTGAGATTATCTTCTATGTCATCTATTTGCTGTGGAGACTTTCTACTTTGTTTTTGATTTCCCCGTCTTCTAGTTGGTGATATTTTAGGGGTTCTGTCTCTCTATTAAACCTTTGTTTTAGGTCTTTTATGGACTTTATGTACATTTTTTTTTTTGATCCAGTCATGGGGGCTTAACTCTGGGCCTGGGCACTGTCTCTCAGCTCTTCAGCTCAAGGCTAGCGCTCGACCACTTGAGCCACAGTGCCACTTCCGGGTTTTTTCTTTTTCTTTTTTCTTTTTTTCTTTTTTCTTTTTTTTGCTTATGTGGTGCTGATGAATTGGACCCAGGTCCTCAGGCATGCAAGACAAGTGCTCTACCACTGAGCCACCTTCCCAGCCCTCTGTACATTTTTTCTTTGGGTGGGGGAGTTGCAAGCGTTGTTTTCTTAGCTGTGTCTTCTCTCATATCTTTAACTAGGCATCCATTTTTTCTTGAACTCCCTTGACTTCTCAGAATTTATTTATCTTTCTGTTTGTAGTCTTCATGAATTATTTTGCTAATCTTTGGTTGGTCTCATTTGTTCACAAATTTCCTTGTAGAGGTTTTCTATCTTTCCATTAATCACATTTTTCAGCAGTATCTGTAATACATTTGATAACTCTCTTCTAGGTCCTTGATTGTCTGTTTTAATGCCTGGTTATTTACTGTGTGAATTATACTACCTTGAGGTCACTTTTCTTGTATTTTTCTGATTTGTTTTGTCCATTTGGAGGTTTTCTTTGGAGGATCTATGACCTTAATAGGTGACTCTCTATGTTCTTGGTTGATTTGCCAGGTCTTTGTTTGGTCTCCTGTTATGATTTGTTTTTCTGGAATTGCATTTTTGTCAGGTCCATTAAGTGTAGTAATAGAAATCAGTTGTGGTGAGATGTTGTGATGTTAATATTTGTGGTTCCAGTGACAGTTCGGAATGTCCAGTGGTATGGTGAATTGTCTATGTGTACGGATGTGGCTTTCTCTGATGTATGCTTCTGTTCCTGCTTTTTTCCATGTTGCCCATTTATTTCCAGACTGCAGATGTGCTTTTGAATGTGTTGGCCAACACAGTCATAGCAGTCAACTACCTGGCTGGCACCTTTTCATAGAATTCTGTTTTCTTGTGAAGACAGTATAAAATCTTCTTATGAATTATATGTTTATAGTTATGTCAATTTTTATAGCTGCATATCTATAATTATAGCTGATTTGATGTGACCCTCTAGAAGTGGAGTATCTCCTAGGACTATAAACCTCTGTTTCATTAGAGATTGCTAGGGTAATTTTCTGTTGTTATTCTGTCATTGTTTTTCCTCTTCCTCAGATTTATTTTTTATATTGTGTATGTTTTCACATAATTTAGGATTTGTAATTGTTGTATCAGGTTATTTTTGTTTTTCTGCTTATATTACGTTGAAGTAGTGATTTCAGGCTTGTATGAAGAAACAGAAAGAGACAG